AGAAGGATCGCTTGAGCCCAGGAGTTTGAGGTTGCTGTGAGCTAGGATGATGCCACGGCACTCTAGCCCGGGCAAAAGAGTGAGACTCTGTCTCAAAATAAAAAGATGGCAAAACTGTGTCAATAGCTTAGGTGCATATTTTGATTAATTGTACTGCTTCTTGTTTGAGATATAATAAACTGAACTTTTGATTTGAAATCAGACATTTCATATTTAATGACCTAATAGATTTTAAATGAACTTCCAATATACTCTTGATTTTGACCCTATAGTCTACAGAACACAAAAGCAACTGTAAAGTATATTTTGGGAAGAGATGATGCCACACTCAAAGACAAGACAATTCTACAAATTTTGACAGCATTAAAAAGAACTGATTTAAGACATGATGTCGTTGGGGAAAAAAGTCTGCACATCCAAGAGCAAAAGATGTGTAATATTTGTAATATTTGACAATTTAAATAATACTTTGTGCTTATACTATGCCCTTTTTTAATAAAGAGCATCCTTCACATATTTAAAGAGTAAATTGAGGCACAGAAAGTTTGCCCAAGGCAAGCTAGAAACTCAGGTTTTGGGACACAAAATAATCCAGAATTCCACATGTCCAGTGCCTTTAAATGTAAATTACAGACTATCTTTAATGCCTCCATCTTATCAAACACTAGTAAGTTTACAATTATAAGTTGTATGTCTAAGTACTATGTGATAGGTAATGCCTATAAGCTTTCCTTCATGTTTTAAAATAAGTGGTACATGAAATAGGAAACTTAATCAAAATGTAATCAATTTGCTTTTTGTTTTAAAAAAATTTAAATAAATGAGAGTGAGGACAGTTCTGGAAATTCTTGCCTAGATTTTTCTCCAGCAGGATTTTACAAATATCTGCTTCATATGCCAACATTGATTTATTGACTGCAATTATTCTTTCCTTAAATATTTATTTGCCTTCCAGTTCTCTTTCCTCTCATGATCTTCTGTCCCTTAGTGAACTGAGTTTATGATTCATTGAAAACAAAATGCTAACAAGGTTTTGTACAAGTGCATAACGGTTAATCTTGGGTTCAGTCAACTAATCTGATATTAACTTAGTTAAGCCAAGATCAAGAAGTATGAGGAAGAATTTGAAACATAATCTGGGATAAGCAGTGAAATATTAGACACGTGAGACAATAAAAAAGATATATTCCAAAGCCTAATCCTAAATTTAAATCCATGCTTCATTCAACTACTAACTAACCTGACCTTGAAACATGGAAGAAGTTACTTCACCCAAGCACACTGCAAGCACACTGGACCAGTGTACAGCAATGTCAATGTTAGCGAACTCACGTTGCTTAGTGTGTGTATATATACGTAAGTGTGTGTGTATTCTTAAAATGGTGATTCTTAAAATTTGAGGGAAAGTTCCCGATTCCTTTGAGAATCTAATAAAAGTCATGAAAACTTGCATCAGAAACACACACACACACTAAATAAAGTGTTGATAATCTACTATATAAATCACAGCATTGTTGATATGGTGGGATTAGACATGAAAATTTTCATGTTGTTAATAAAGACTGGCCACTAATCTTAAGGAATAGGCTTTGAAAGTAAAAGGAAGGTGCAGTGATCATATCGATTCATTTCATCTGTCTCTTTTGCTAGGTCTAATGATGATTCGGTTGATGCAAATGTGCCCCTAATCTAGCCTATAAATATTAAAAACAAAAATGTTTAAATTCTAACTTGTGCTAGCAGTGTACATGTAGCAATTTTCAAGTATTACAAAATACTGTGAAGGAAAGACTTTAATATACCACTAACATATTCCTATGTACCCAAACGAGCAATGAAATGCATGAATATATAACTTACCTAAAGCGAAGTATAAAAAAATAAAGACACAATAGCTCTAAATTCTTTATAACCCTCAAGGACAGGAAACCAGTATCTCTGAGAAGTTTGTTTTAATAGAATTGAACACGTAATTTTTCTCCCCACAGTAATCAAAGCAAACATTTTATCATTATTACTCTTGGTATATCAAACCGAATTCCAGGAATGTAAGAAAGTCTGACTTGGAAATATTACATAGAAAAAGGCTGAATTAACAAACACGTGACTTTTTTTAGTTTTTTCTTGTAAGTATACATTGACATCTACTTATCTGATAGCAGCACTGCTGGTTTTGAGGTTTTTTTTTTTCCTTCCAGACGGAATGCAGAATGGCAGTATTATCTTTGGAACAAATTAAGAAGATAGTAACAAATAACAGAAGTATAACTTCTACACACATATTTTTCAAGGGCAATAGATAAGTATATAATTATGAAAAAATATGTCTCCAATATGCTTTTGAAAAAGTTCTCAAGGTTTACTGTTTTGTTTTTATTATTAAAATATAATGCACTATCACTACTATCTGTTCTGGGAAAAACAAACCCCGAGGTTTGAGTTTCCTCCTTCAACCAATAGAGTGATATCAAGAGTAAACTTGGATTGAAGTCAACCTGTTTGAGCCAACAGAGTTCTGCAGTATATCTGATTATTTTACCAATGTACACATATTCTGGGTTATAATCAAGATACTCACCAAATATTTTCTATCAAAGTTTTATACCCCAAACAGGTTCTCTGATGATTTATCATGCTAGCATAGGAAATTTGGAGAAATAATAAATGTTATAAGTAGACATGCATATAGAAGGACATAAAAGATATAGCTTGACCCTGGATTTTTCCCTCCATAGAATAATTCCTTCCATAAATAAGATTTTATTTTTTACATAAGAGACTCATCCAATAGCTGGTCTTGGATCATGGAGAAAGTTAATGACATAGCTTAAAAAAATCTACACACTTTTATGTACTCTTTTGTCACCCTAGACCACAAAAAACATTCTCCAAGTGGATGCTCAGGTCAGATTATGATGCTCTTAAATAAATTTAAGGAAGCTTAGAATGTAAATCATACATCTACTTGCAGCAGCAATAGTCTTTCAAAAATTACTAAAACAAACTTTTAAATAGAAAGCATATAAAAAGGACTATTAAGGATAGTTTTCTAAACTATATCTAAAAATACAGGAAAATGTGTTGCCTCATAATAAAGTTAAATAAATATTCTTTCTGAATCCTATAAATACTATAAGATGTTATAGGTTTATTTGGTTCTCATAAATTATAAAATCTGATTGCTTTTACATAAATTCCTTCAAATTCTTAGCTACTCTCAAACAGGTTTTTATTGTCTTTTCACTAGACTCAGAGATTATCTCTAACTTCCTTTCAGAAATGTGCTTTTTTGTTGGTTTTTAAATAAGTATACTTAGTTTTTTTAAATAAGTATACTTAGTTTTCTCACAATAAACATGATTTAAAATTTAAGGTTCAAGGTAATTCTAGAAAAAGGTAGACACTGAACTATCTACTTTTCTACATCCCCATATTTACAAGGCCTGGCATCCACTGCGGTTTCCTCATTACAGTCACTTATCGCATTGTCAATAAATAGTAACTGTGGTCCAGGTTACCTAAAGATTTCAAAATGCCTCAAAATTTTACAACACTAAAAAATCATTAATATGTGATTTTGACAGGTTATAAGTAATAGTGTTATGTAACTTTTGCTATTGGAAAAGAAATACAAATCTTTATTTTTTCTATCTAAATTAAATCCTAGCTCCATTATCAGTTCTCAAGATAATATCTAAAATGTACATTCCTAAAGAAAGGTAAAGCTGTTCAAGGGCTGAACTAGTCCAATATACAATTAAGGGTTATTTATTCCTGCTATTTTTTTGTCTTTTTTTGTTTGTTTTTACTTTTTAAATTCCTATATTAAACTCCTGGTTTCTCATGGGTTCGATCATAATTTAACATTGTAAAAATTTCAGAAACTATTGTGCTAATATTTAAATTTCAGGAAGGAATCAGATTAAATCAGTTACCTCCATTCATCGTTAGAACAGAAGATAAAATAGCTTACTAACTGATATGAGTTATGAATGTCACTATGACACAAAATTTGCTGTGATTTGCTTATTTGGCTACAAGTGCAGTATTTTTCATGAATGACAACACACAGCATTTCCAACTTATGTAACATGAAACTCCAGCTCATAAAGAGTGTATTGTGTGACTTGAAAAAGTCTGATTGTAACTAAGTAACAACCTTTCCCCTGAAAAACATGAACAAAATCCATTGGGAAATCAGGCACAGACGGTATTTATCGGTTTTTCTTTCTTTCCTCCTGTGGTTTTGTTTCTCAAGACATATAGGTGGTTCCAACAGATTCCAATGCTTGTTACAAAATGACACAGCTATTTTTTTCCTTTTCTTTTTCTTTATCTTTTTCTCGAGGTTCCTTTCGTTTACGTTCAGTATTCCCAGATTGTCTTCCACTTGATGGAGAGGCTTGTGCTGGCTGGCTCTGCTTTAAGAAAAATACACAGGAAGAAATTACTCTAACTATTCCAAGGTGCTTAATCACAGTTATCTATAAAGAAAGACCATAAGAGTGAAAGGAATCATTAATGGAAAAAGAAGCTACTGGTGTATAGATTTCTCATGTATTACATGGTATTCGAGCAATCGCCTCTACCTTTCTGGATATAACTTATATATTCATTATTCTAAATAAATGGAATTTCAAACAACAAATAATATGTAAAATTATATTGCCTGAAACCTTAAATTTAAGACATATTTATGTTAAAGTTTAGAAAATGTTAAAGAAAGTGACACATTTTGGTAAACTGTAATAGCTCTTCAAAATCTCATTAAATACCCATAATAAACAGAGTTTAAAAAGAAAAAAAAAAACCCCTGAGAACTGACAGTGTGGAGTAAGTGTATTCTGTGAAGAAAAACACCTTTTTGAGTGAAAAGCTAATCATAATATGGTAGGATTTAACTATTAAACTTGGGACAGTCAATATTTAAGTTAGAAATAGAAATTTTATACTTATTTTAATGGGGATTGCTATATTTAGGTTTTATTTCCTTTTTGTAAAGAATCCTAACAACAATAATATATTTCATATTTAGTTTTATCAGACCTTAAAGAGCATCTTGCTTTCTTGTATACTAAAATCAAAATTTCTTATATACCTAAACCAAAAGGAAAAATTCTGGCATAGTACAGTTAAACATAAAAGAAGGGGAATACTTTTTGAGTTAATGAAGTGAGACTTAACATGTAAATCCCACCATAATATCTTCAGTGCTTAAAACAGTTAATTGGGGAAAGTGAAAGGTGGAAAGGCGCTAACCTTTGTTGAATACCTAGTACGTGTCAGACAGTGGGTTAAGTGCTAACATTATTTGTTCTTCATCACAAACCTAAGAATTAAGTATTATCTCTATTTTACAGATAGGGAAAAATGAGGTATAAGACTTTGTCGAAGGTGTTGCAACTAGGAAGGAGAGAAAGAAGAAGGAAAGGCAAATCCACGTCTATCTGGCTTCAAAGTCTATATTCTTTCCAGTAGTACCTCACACTGCCCTCTAGTTGCTAGAAAGGACTTTGTTCAAATTGGTTTATTTTCTTTGCAGATATTAGGAACTTAAAGAATAAATTTCAAAATCAGAACCTCAAGAAAATTAATTTTATTTGAATAAAGTGAGAAATAAAATAGTCACAAATTTGGGACAATGTCATAAAATCCAGGGTGCTAAAATCCTAACATAATTGAAGAGTCAATTCCTAATTAAAAATTTGTTATCTCAGGCAGAAGTTTCTTTATTGCTAAAGTGATCGTCATGTTTAAAAATCAGAACACTAGTTTTTTACCTGGGGCTGTGTAGAAGCAGAAGCAGAAGCAGAAGCAGCAGCAGCTGCTGCTTGTTCCTGTTCCTGATAGTATTGAGAAGCCCGTCTATCCTCTTCCTCTTGGAGTTTCTTTGCTAGCTCCAGATCACTGATTCCGTCTGGAATTTGTTCCCAATTGATCTCTTGGCTCTGCTGTTCTTGTTGTAGAGACAATGCCATAAGATAGTCCTAAGAAATTAAATTATACCCATCTAACGTTAGCCATGAGATTTTACCCAAGAACTAATGAGTGCATAGATGTTTTATCTATAAAGCTATAAGAATGGTTTTTAAAAAATATACCAGAGCTTAAATATTAAAATGAAGTTATCTTTCTAAGTATTTCCCTTGGGGAGCTATGAACTTATTTCAGTGATGTAGTCATTGTTCTAAATATTTTTGGAACTCATTTGAAATTCTTTCTAGAAGCAGCATATAATGCATTCAAGAAAGCTAAAAAAAAAAAAAAAAAAGTCCCCCCATTTACAAAAGAAACACATGCCTGCAGAAAATTCAGACAAAACAAAAAACCATATAAATAAGAAAGTTTAAATATATCTTTATGCTCACCCAGGGACACCAAAAAAAAAAAAAACCACCATAATATCATTACGCAGAGATAACTACTGTTGACAATTAATATCGGTTGGTCAAGGAATTAATATCACTCCTGTAATCCTAGCACTCTGGGAGGCCGAGATGGAAGAATTGTTTGAGCTCAGGAGTTTAAGACCAGCCTGAGCAGGAGTGAGACCCCGTCTCTACTAAAAATAAAAAAATTAGCCAGGCACAGTGGCGGGCACCTGTAGTCCCACCTACTCGAGAGGCTGAGGCAGGAGGATCACTTGAGTCCAGGAGTTTGAGGTTACAGTAAGCTACGATCACGCCACTGCACTCTAGCTAGGGCGAGAAAGCGAGACTCTGTTTCATCTCAAAAACAAAAGAAAAAAAGACCCAATATCTATCCACCTAATATTTTCCTATGTTCACATACAAATTCAAATACTTCTTCCCACCCTCTGAAACCATTGTAATCTGTTTTCTTTTCCATTTAATGTCATAAAAGTCTTCTGTTTAAAAAAAATAACTTTCCCAAAATTATTTATTAAATTATTCCAAAAGATTATTTACACAGATCATTTCCTACGAGAAAAAGTGGTGCATTTTGGTCAAAAGTTGTATTATTTAACTTGAAACCCACCCACCTCATTACGAGTTAGTGCTGAATGAATGAAACTTGACTACTCTGTGCACCTCCCCTCCATCTTCAAAATACGCGAATTTTAAATAGCTCAGAGCACATGTAAAAGGTCCTTGTACTATGAATGGCATGACTGTCTTACTCTGATATCAAGAATTTGTCTTTCAAATTTTTCTCCTTTTTCAAACTCTGCTCTTTATCAAGCCCCGTGGTCTTGAATCCACCTCTTTCTTGCTACTTCCACAGACACTAATCTCAACACCTTACAATTGGACTACTGTGAGAATCTATTGTTTTGTCTCTGCTCCAATATTTTTTACATATAATGGTTAGAAAAATTTTAAACACTTCTCTTAAGTAACATTTAAAAAACAATGCTCCTGTATAGCTTCTGAAGGAAAATGAGTACATTGACTATCACCACCGTTTTTCAAAGTCCTAGGAGGATTAGCATCTGTTTGAACCAATATTCTTTTGCAAACTTATAGCTTGCTATGGAACTTAACGTATAGCTGGGCATGGTGGCTTCACACCTGTAATCCCAGCACTTTGGGAGGCCGAGGCAGGAGGATTGCTTGAGGCCAGGAGTTAGAGGCCAGCCTGGGCAACATAGCAAGACCCTGTCTCTACAAAACATTAAGAAAAAACCATCAGCCAGGTATTGTGGTACATGCCTGTAGTACCAGCTACTTGGAAGGCTGAGGGAGGGAGGAAGATTTCCTGAGCCTAGGAGTTCAAGGCTACAGTGAGCTATGATGACACCACTGCACTCTAGCCTGGGCAACAGAGTGAGACCTTGTCTCACAAAACAAACTCCACCTGCCGCTAAAAAAAAACCCTCCAAAACAACCCAAAAAACCAAAACCTTAACATATATTAATAATATTTGTTGGTCAAATATCTGCCTCCCCTACTAGATGGCAGCATCTTTGAGGACAGGACTGATTTATTTTTGTATTCCTAGGACCTAGTTATTGTGCCAGGAATAAAATTGCTCATTGAATATTGGCTAAATTAACAGTCTTTGTGCACTTAAATTGTTATCAGTGAAATATGTGCCAACTGTTTAACATAACCATATTTCTGCCTCAGTCAGGGAAGAATTCACATCACCATCTTACTTCTAGTAAACATGTTTATGGCTCCAAGCCTGTCCACCTATAGTAGGCAAAAATCTCATCTGTCTCAGTTGTAGATGAAAGTTCTACTCACTAGTGCAGCTCCTGCTATAAGTATCTACTCCTCCTTACCTTGCACTCTAAGGCTTAGAATATCCCCCTATTCTTTACCCAGTACATGCTATCTTCTAGATTCCCTCTTTTCTACATTTTTTGACTAGTCAAAATGTATCTCAGATATGTGCTCATCTCTTCATCTCTACCACCCAAGGCTAAGCCATCCTCACCTCTTGTTTGGACTCCTGGTTTCCATTTGGATCTGCACATGTCCTGTGCATTCTCCACATAGCAGTCTTTTACAAAAGTAAAGTAAATCATGTCACTTCCATGATTAATACTTGGCATAGCTTGACTACTGCAATTAGTATAATTACTCAAACTCCTACCCTGACCTTCACAGTTCAATATGATCTGGCTTTCTGAACCAAACTGAATAATTAATGTACATGTAGAATGATCACTTATCTATTCAAGAAGTATCAGGAAAATTTCACAAGTATATTAATGAATTAATCTTTAGTTCAAAAGTTTCGGATAACTGAATTCACATTTGAAAAAAAAAGGCACTTTAAACAATATATGAGGAAGACAAAACAAACTTACCTGATCTATCTGATCTTGTTGTCCTTTGTATACAGTTTCAGGATCTGAAGGAGGCCGCAAATGAAATTCTGAGTCACAGAAATTTCCATCACCATCCACATTGTGTAGGCTTTCCCAGACAATTTTTTCTTCAGTAAGAAACCCCTGATCGGTTACCAACAAATACAATTGACCCTTAATAAGAAATAACAAAAGAAAAGGAGATTAGTTAAATAGATTAAAACCAGTTAATATACTATTTAAGGAAAATTTTATAATCTGTATGTTTAGAGCATATTAATTATTCCCACTATTTAGATCTGCACAACACAATAAATAGACCAAGTAGATATCTTATTTGCTCAAATCCACCTGGGTTTGCATATAGTTTACAATTTGCACAATACAGTATAATGAGATATAGCAGTTCTTGGCATGTTCAACGAATATATGACTTATAAATAGCTTGGGGAGGTATTTACAATCTCATTTCATAAAACAGAAAACTACATAACAATTAGGACACAGTCAGAAAAAAATGATATCATGTTGCCTTTTTAAAAAATTAAGTTTATGACTCATCTAATCCATATTAATTTTGTTTTCCTCTGCACCATTAGTTGCTCTTGCTTTGTACACCAATAGTACTTTGTATCTACTTCTATTGTAGCACCAAATCACTGGGTACTATGATTGTGTTTTCCCGCCTCATCTTTTTTTTAATTTCAGCATATTATGGGGGTACAGATGTTTAGGTTA